AGAGGTACAAAAGGTTCTGCTGAGGGCACAACTCAACAAGCCAAAAAAACAAAAAAGGAAAGGCCGGCGGCCGGAGAAGGCCGGCCTCTAATCAGGCTCCGGCGGAGGCGGAGATGGCGGCGGCGACAAGCGGACAACCATGGAGCGAAGGTCGGCGATGAAGGCAGAGATGGCGTCTCGATCCTGGGGGCGGCTAAGCGGCCGCCAGACCAGACAATTTGAAGAGAGCGTCGGTAGCCCGTCGAAGAGGAATGCGTTGAATCACAAGTTTATTGCGGATCGTCCAGAGGGTCCAAGCGAGGGCTCCAATATCAAGCCACCTAATGTGGCGAGAAGGCAGGGGGGAGTTCTGGAGTTCGGCGAATAGGTCGGGGAAGTTGGTGTGACACCAGTTACCACCAACCACCTCTCTAAAGCAGCTCCAAACAAATTGAGCGGACACGCAAGAGAAGAAGATGGTGATTCGAGTCTTCGGGGACACCGCAGAGGGGGCAGAGGCCAGATCCGGGGCCGTTGCGCTTGCGGACCTCCACCCCAGACAGGGTCCGCCCGCGAATCCATTGCCACATGAAGATCCGAATCTTCAGCGGCAGGCGGATGGACCACACCGTCGTAAGGGGAGGAGGAGTGGAGGAGGGGGCAATGGCCTGGTAAAGGGACTTGGTGGAGAATTGGCCCGAAGGCTCAAGATGCCACTGAACCAGGTCAGGACCAGCGTCAACCACATGCTCGTGAAGGACGACGCAGTCGAGCAGCTCATGCCACACGGCAGAGTCCCCAGGCCCAAATGGCCTACGGAAGGTGAGGCGCCCTAAGTCAGTAAGGGCCCTCTCAACCAAGATCTGAGGGTCAACGGTGATGGAGAAGAGATCGGGGAAGCGCGCGACGAAGGGGGTGTCACCAACCCAACGGTCGAACTAGAACAGGGTCGCAGACCCAGATCCAACCGAAATGGATGTCCCAATACGAAGAACCGGGAGCAGCTAGATGACAGATTGCCAGAACTGGGAGCCGCCAGATCTCTGACAGAAGGCAAGGGGTTGCCCACGCAACCTGGGTATCGTATTGTGTGTACTATAGATATTGTCATGAATAGGGACTGGAAAATCCTAAATTCGAATATTAGAAGGATTAATTCTGATAAAAAGCGGACTGCAATATCTAACAAGAATGAGGAAATAGGCTGTGCTGTCCTTTATCTTCAAGAAACAAAAAGAGATTTCTTTGATCAGAGATACCTAAAAAACATCTGTCTTAGAAGGCTAATAAGTTTGAATATCTTCCCTCTGTCTAGAATGATAATATATTCATAGGGGAAAATATTTCAAGAATTTTCCCTGTCTATTTTATTTACTTCAGTCCACAATGGTGATTCCTGGATATTAACCAATGTTTATAGCCACTGTCAGCAAGAAAAAAATCATTGATTGGTTTCAAAGCATTACAATACCAGATGATCATAACTGAATCATATTGGGAGGATTAGATATCCTGAAAATAGGAACAAAGAAGGGACGGTGGGACACACAGGATATGATGCTCTTTAGTGAAGCCATCAGTCACTTGGATTTGGTAGAGATTCCTTTAAAAGGAAGAAACTATACATGGAGCAAGATGCAAGATATTTCTCTTCTTTAGAGTTTGGAATGGGTTTTTTTTTCCGTAGAAGCTTGGACCCTTTCATACCCCAATAATTTGGCTATCTCCCTAGCCAAGACCATTTCTGATCACACTCCATGTATCATACAAGTAGGCATTTCTATACCCAAGTCAAACTTATTCATATTTAAGAACTATTGGCTTGATGACCCAGATTTTCAACAGCTTCTCCAGAACATTTGGCATCAATCTATCAATGAAGTGGATAGTTCAAAGTTATTACTATTAAATTCATAAGGCTAAGAAAATTGCATCAAATTGTGGGCCAAAAATTTATGAAAACTATCAGAAGCAATTCAGAATACAAGTACAGTTATTCGCTTTTTTTTTAAATCACAAACATGTTTCGCGAACATTTTATTTGAATTCAAAAATATTTTTTGGATTCACGAATATTTTTCTAAATCAAGAACATTTTTTGAATTCATGAACATTCTTCAAATTTGCCAACATTTTCCAAATTTGTGAACATTTTTAAAATTATAATTTTTTCAAAATGATGAACATTTTTTGGAATCACAAACATTTTTTATGAATTCATTATTATTTTTGGCAATCACGAACATTTTTCAAACTCACAAACTCTATTTAGATTTGTGAACAATTTTTGTACTGGCAAACATTTTTTGTGTTCGTGAACATTTTCTGAATTCGGAACAATTTTTAAAATTCAAGAATTTTTTTTGAAATCTCGAACATTCTTTTCCAATTCATGAACATATTATGAAAGACCATATGTTTTTGAAATTCAGAACATTTTCAAATTCATGAACAGTTTTTGAAATCCTGAAATGAATCAAAATTGAGATATGTGAACAGTTCTCAAAGTAAAAAAAATAAAAACAAAAAACGAAAACAAAAGAAGAAAAACGAAAAATGGCGCCCAACCCGCACATGGGCCAGCTCAGAATACACGCGGTGGGAGCTCATATCGTGAGCGGCTGTGCGTTTCATCATTTTCCGGTAGGTCGTCAAATAGGAGGTCTCGGAGGAGATGCGCCCCTAACATCAGTGTCGCCGCTAGCTACATTGGCGCGGGCACTGAAAGTGACACTAGTAGAAAATAGGGCATATGTTCGGGCCTGGTTAGCCCATTAGTACCAGTTCGGTCAAGAACCGGGACCCATGGGCCCATTGGTCCCGGTTCGTGAGGCCAGGGGGCCTGCCGAGCCTCGTGGGGCCATTGGTCCCGGTTGGTCTGGCCCCTTTGGTCCCGGTTGGTGGCACGAACCGGGACCAATGGGCCTCGCTCCTGCCCCACCATCATTGGTCCCGCTTGATGGCCTAAGCCGGGATCAAAGGGAGGTCTTTAGGACCGGGTCAAGCCACGAACCGGGACCAATGAACCAGCCAGGGAAGAGGGCTCTTGTGTGTAAAACATTAAAAGCAATTTTTTTTTCATAAAATAAATAAAAAAGCAAAAAAGAAAAGAAAATAAATAAGTAGAAACAAAATAAAATAAATAAGTAGAAACAAAAAAACTTTAATAAATAAGTAGAAACAAAATAAACTATAATAAACTAAAATAAATAAACTATAATAAAATAAATAAAAATAGCAACAGTAAGTAGAAACAAAATAAAATAAATAAAGCAAAAAAGAAAGAATTTTCATAAAATAAATAAAAGAAGCAAAAAAGAAAAGAAAATAAATAAGTAGAAACAAAATAAACTTTAATAAATAAGTACAAACAAAATAATCTTTTACAAAACCTCTAGTATTATTGAAACTAAAATTATATAAAATTTATGCAACTAAAATTATCAAAGTATTTTCTGTTCAAAACATTAAAAGAAAAAAAGAATTTTCATAAATAAATGTTTTGTTAGAAACTTTAATAGCAAAAAGAATTATCATAAATAATTTTTTGTTAGAAACTAAAGTAACAAAATATGTTTTTGAATATAATGATAAAACACAGTAATATTAAATAGCAGGAAAAAGAATCACTCAAAAATCTATTTTTATAGTAAAGCTATTCAAAAACTAGTGATTCACACAAATTTCCAAAAATTCAAATTTAAACTATTCAAATTAGAAAACAAATGACACTAGCAGAAAGTATATAATTTTTATTACCTAAAAGCAAAAAGAATCACTGAAAAACTAGTAAGTATTTTGCTGTAAGTAGAAACAAAATAAAATAAACAAAGCAAAAAATAAAACAAAAAAATAAAAAAAGTGTCACCTAAAGGGCCACCACGGCCTGAATATGACTAGA